TACACAGCCAGAAGTCAGATAAGGCCACACTGTTTACTCAATTGTGTTCTTAAAAGAACATGAAAAGTCAAAATTTTAATTCCTCAAAGCTATCTTTGGTTAATCATGTCTAAGATGGCTAAATACATAAATAAATTTAATAAATGTAAGTTTAAACTGAGGGGAAAAAAGGGACCTTAAACCTTTCTGGAAGAAACCGTGCTGCTCGATCAAAGTGGCTAACGGAAAGTCAAGGTGGCTGAGAGAGGGCTGTGCCCTGGCTTAAATCAGTCAAAAAAGCCTGAGGCCCATTTTGTGTCAATAAAAGCGTGTAAGTAAAAGTTAAAATAATACAAAGATATATTAAATTTGCTTAAAAATTGAGTTTAAAATCTGGCTTTATTAAGTCTATACTGTTTTCTTTCAACTATTGTTATTAAAACAATAAGTTATTACAATGATCATTGAAAAGTAAAAGAATAGAAAGTTTGTAAGTGTACTACTGGCTTGCAGCCATCAATTTGAATCTTTAAAATGGGTATAGGCCATGCCTGTAAAGAAGGCTCTGAAAAGGTAAACCTCACCCAGTGCTTCGAGTGCTCTTGACATTTGCAGACACTGGTGAAGAATGCTGTGGGCAGAAGGAAAAGGAAAGCTTTTAGCCTTTTTTTAACTTTAAATTAGTGGTTTGTATCTAATGCTGAAAAAATTTTAAAGCTATGGAGAAACTCTCCTCTCTAGAACTAAACATTAAAAGGAGCCGGTAAGCAGCCTGAAATGCTTGCTAGATGAGGACGTGGGTCCACTTGTTGTGTGGAAGTAGAAAGAAACGCAGCAATAAGAAAATGAGTTCAGTCTGGTCACTAACACTCGAGAACCTGGTTCACAGGAACTAAAGAAGAAGATGAGAGCAGGTTGGCTGAAGCTCAAGGCCTAGTCCAAGGGGCTAAAGTTGTTTAAAAAAAATTGTGACTGAGCCCATGGTCAAAGGCAAGGTGACCAACGGGCACCCTGATGGAGTCAAGTGAGGCAGCCCACATTGAGTTAACCAAAACCTGACCAGATAAAAGAAGACATTTGAGCCTGTGAACTGTTGCATATTGCTGGTGACTTTATGGATGGCTTGTCCCAATTTGACTTTGTGGATGCAGACTCACAAGGTACCAATCAGAATGAAGATTCTTCACATCAAAGAACTTGCTTGGCTTCTCAAAGCACTAGGTTAATATAAGTTAGGCAGTATAAAAATTGGATGCCCAAAACTGGGGAGATAAAGGCATAAACTTTCATAGATATAAATATAAAATATTTTTGTTTTGCTTACTTATAAAATATTATGTTTAAATAAGGCTGATACATTTCAAACTGTGTATTTTAGTTAAATACTAATGTATTTTAGTTTTATTTTGTTAGAACTACTGTTCTTGTTTTGAAAATTGTAGGTGGCTAAAAAGTTGTTCAAGAGTATCATGTTAATCCCACACCAACCCATTGACGATTCCAAGGGCACCTGCAGGCAAGGATTCATCATCATCATTTGCTGAAGTCCCTGTAAACCTTACAGACTGTACAGCACCAATTCCACAAATTCTTGAGGAAGGTAGTACCCCAGCCACGAGCAACCAGTTTGCCTGTGCACCCATTCCAACCGGGTGACTGTGTCCTCATAAGGCGATTCACGTCCACTGGACTGCCACCACGTTGATAAAGGCCCTTTACCATCATGCTCACAACTCTGACCATGGTCAAGGTGAATGGACTTCCCTGCCCAACGCAGAATGAAAGGTTCATTCTTCTGTAAAAGACCCCTTGAACTAAGATTATCTCAGGTTTCTTAATACTGTTATCTCAGTCTAGGTTTTCTGCTAATTGTAATCAAACTATTAAAATATGTTACAATAGGTCACAAATGTATTTTAAGGCTGTCCTGGAAACGTGGTTTTCATGCTCTTTTGGCCTCACCACCTGCTGGCCTACTTGTTTGTTTAACAACCAGGTATTGCAGGTTCTGCAGCCACAACTATCTCTGCCCTCATCACCCAGAGCCATGGCTTGAAAGACCGCTCTAGTATAATTAATGTAAATATAATTGTCAGAACAAATTCATTAGGAGAGTTCATTCAAAACTACCTAGAAGCTGTTAAGCTTCATTGAGAACACACTATACCAACCTAAGTGTAGAGGAAGTTACTAATGAATCAACAATTTGATTCCCAATAAAAAGAACAGGGAATGAGGCAGACTAGCAAAAGAAACTCCGTTTTGTTAGCTGCTCAGTGACTTGCCCATGCCTCCCTTCCATCTCAGAAAGCTGACTGCTAGTCGGCCTGCCTGTCCTCCCTTACGGGAAAGTCTCTCCTGGTGATTAATTTTAGAATGTGCTCCCATGTTCCCAGGTTCTGGACACTACAATTAGTTTCAACTATTCTTCAATATATTGTTTGCTCTGATTGTTTTTCAATTTTGTTCCCTTTGATGTTATAATCTGAATGGCGTACTTAATCTTGTTATGGTTACCAAGATGCTAAAATCAATTTTGGTTTTGTTTCTTTTATGATAATCTTCTTCTGGTAACCAGAATGTGAAAATCAATTTTGGTATTGATTATTTTATGATAAGAATGTACCTTGCATGCTTACTCTTCTTGGAGTTACAATTAATTCATTAGTTTTGCTTTCTGCTTCTATTCACACTTGCTTGAATCCTAGACAGGTGATAAATGATTTTTTGGCCTTAAAGATGGACTGAGAAGTCCACTCAGGGTTGCTATGAAGGGAAACATCTTTAGTTGCTCAATAGCCCAGCTAGCTGAACAAAGACTCTAAACTTCAAGACATTATAGTAGCTGTCATTTAATTGGACCCTCAACAAAACAAGTGGCCATCTAGCTGTGAAGCAACAAATCC